CCTCCATATAGTCACCAGTTTTGGTCCTGTTGGCCATATGTCGGAGCAACATCTCAAGATGCTTAAACACTTGACAACCAAACGGATGTGGAAGTCCAAGACCCTGATAGGACAGCGGAGCAAATACAACATCCTGAGGGAAATTACGTAGCATAAAACCAATTAATGATTCAGTTATATATATATCCTTTGGAATCTCTATCCAATCGTCCTGCACTCCTTCAGGCGTGGGACACTTCATCTTCCCTTTTAGGACTGAAGAACCAGGTCTATATATCTTTTCAGCAATGATTGCATCTTCTTCATTCACATGGCAGTTCTTGAATAAACCAGATCTTACTGCAATACGTTCCAGACTGGCTGTCTTACCCAACAGAACAGCTTTCAGAGGAGAAAGAGAGCCGGTCACAATAAGAAAAGAAATAAGACTAGCAAAAGTTCAATCTCAAAAAGATTGGCAAATAAAAAGAAGGCCAAAAAGAAAAAAGTTTCGTTTTTTGTTTTTGAACAAGAGGTTCAAAGATTTGGAAAAGGAAGAAAAGGTGGATTTTTTCACTTGTGCATGGGAGGAACACCAGCTCACCGGAAAGATACACCTGTTGGAGCGATATACCACCGGACTTGCGTTTGCCCAAATGTCTGCCAAGCAGGGCATCAAGAAGTACCACAAAGAAGCGGAACTGAAGCTAATTGCCGAGTTTGCACAGTTGCTGGATTTCCAAGGTTTCCATGGAGTTAAAGCAGACGGACCCAACGGCATTTCTTTGGAAGAAAAGAGAGGAGCCGGAGGCATGATCAATCTTATTGAGGAAAAGATCAATAGAGGACAAACCAATGAAAATCCAGTGCAAAGTTGAGATCAGCATGAAGAAGCATATTCTGAAAGCGGTTGATATGTTCATGGGCAACATTAATAGAGAGGCAACATTGCCAAGGCTTATCTGTTCAATGTGAGAGAAGCGGCAAAAGATTTGAACGAGGAAAGAGCTGACAATTTTCACAGCATGACAGCGTCACTGTTGTACGCCTCAAGATGATGCCGTCTAGACATTCAAAGCGCTATTGGATATTTGTGCACTAGAGTCGGGTGCCCAGACAAAGATGATTGGGTCAAACTCAAGAGAGTGTTGCAGTACCTGAAAGGTTTGATAGACTTGACAAGAATCATTGGTGGAGACAACATCAGAAGGATGCAAGCATGGGTGGATATTTTGTATGGAATCCACAACGACTGCAAAAGTCACACTGGAGGATGCATCTCTTTCGGTTGGGGCGTAATTTGACCATGTGCAAGAAACAGGGGCTTAATGTGAAGGGCTCAACTGAAGGAGAAGCCGTGGGCGTGAGCAATTTTTTGCCGAACATGATTTGGGTGAGAATGTTTTTGGAACAACAAGGTTTTGAACTAGAAAAGAACACGCTGTGCCACGGCAATCAGAGCGCTATGAAGATTCTTTTGAACAGTAAGAAGTCAGCCGGAAAAAAGTCCAAACACATCAACAATCGTATTTATTTTATTAAGGATTGATTGTTGTCCGGGGGAATCGATGTGGTGTACTGTCCGACTGCAAAGATGCTGGCGGATTTTTTACCAAGCCTTTACAAAGTAGTTTGTTTTGAAAGTTTCGCGATGTGGTTTTGGGATACAAACACATTGATACTCTACTAGGAAGAATCAGTCAAGGAGCAGGTTGGAAGTTATACAGACGACTCCCCTGAGTCGGATAGTGACAAGTCTAAACCGTCATACATCAACCGTGAGAACATGGAGAACCAGTCATGGGCAGATGTTGTTCTTTTAAGATGAACAATTGAATTACAGTAGTTAAAACTGTGTAGAGAGTTTTTCGGATGACCGAAAGCTTGAGTTTGCTTTGGTCATTCGAAAACTACTGGTGCAGATATTGCCCTACTGGTGCAGATATTGCCAGTTTTGACAAGTCAACGGTTGAAGTTAGGGTTATATCCATGCGAGGACATGTATCCTACATGATACCCACCGGTACCAGCATAGTACTGTATCTGTATCTATCTGTATCTATCATACTTATTGAAGTAGTGCTCAATGCCACGTTCTACCGGTACATCTGTAAGTTATGGGTGCTACGGATGGTTGATAGAGGATAGAGGCAGTCAGGATTAACAATACTACAGTACATGCCCAAATTTTATTTATTATTCATCGTCAGTTTCAAATCCATGTCAATCCGGTAAGGAGCCCCAACGCTTGGTCAAGGCGAATTTGAAATTCGTCTCAAGAGTACCAGGTATCCCCAAGTTCAGATAACTAGTTAGTTTTTTAAGCAAATACTACTGCGACTTCTTAGAAAAATGTCTAATGAATAGTTCTACCGGTTCAATATCGTATTACCTTAATTCATTACATCGGTAAAAATGAAGATCTCTTCTATCAAGAAGGCCGTTTCAACACCGCACCCCATAGGGAGAGCAGAGACCAAAGGCAGAGCAGATCCGATTGTTTACCACTGTTTGCAAAGCGATGTCCATCATATCCTTCATACCTTTACATTTGCGGGAGTGCCGCCATTTGGTATGTTTTTTCATTCTTTTATGTAGCTTTGAATAGTGACTATGAATAAAACTTAATAATTTCGATTTGTAGATCTAGTCATCCATGACTTGAAAACACTATGGGTTACTGTCGTCAACACGGGGAGGAACAAAGACGATCATGCCGTCCATACCAGCGGTCAACTTGACCATGGAAGCAAGGCGGCTTTCTGGAAAGATTTCATCAAAATCCCAGTAGTCTTCGATCATTCTCTCCTCGGAGCGAGTCTTTGGTGCCGCAGTGTCAACACCAGGCCCACTCAAGACCACATGATCATATCCAGAAGTTGGTCCATCTCCAAATACTGGTTCTGTCCACCTTTCACTGTGAACAATCTCTGCAGCTCCAGCCTCTGTCATAGGGCCAAGTTCTACTTCATTTACTTCGCATGCGTCGTAAAGTGAGGTTCCTGTAGTTACCAACAATCCTCGTTAGCGGCAAGCAGCAGCGAAACTTATAGTAGAGTCAAATAAATATAGGGACTCCTAACTCACCGACCATTGCAGGAATTTTTCTTCGTGCTCCACTCGGATCAACAATCGTCAAGTTGATCAGTTTATCAAAAACCGAAGGTGCAGAAGCAGCCAGGGTAGTGAACGTTCGGCCTATCATTCCAGATACGCTTTGTCCAACGAGCCGATTTGATGCTAATCGAAAAGACATTTTTTCCACAGTCTGCAAACTGATGACAACAAGATTAGCAACAGCTTGTGTTCCGGTTCGTGCTGTATTTGGTACGCAGGCGGTAGGTCATCGGCACTTTTCGCTCCGTCCGCCAACCGTACCTGGTACCTTGACTGACTTCCACTCTACAGCCATCGTCTTGCAGTCGACACACAACGTCTGTACATCGTACGTAAACGAATAAATAACAGTTTCCATACATTTCGTAGACCCGATACAAACTCTACGTAGTCAAATTAGTCAATCTGATTACAGGTCCAGATCTAACCCAACCTTCACAGAAGAGTCTTATTGAAAATTATAGATGACTTTAGAAAGGCACAGAAAGTGCTTACATGAGACCTAAGGTAAAATATAGTCCCCAACCGAAGGAGCTTCTAGAGTCCCAATACCTTGGGCCTGTTCTATGGGCCGTTTCACTCTTCCCCTCTATCATCAAAGCTTGCGGGATCATATGATATCATATTGAAATTCAGTCACAAAGGCGTCCTTACATCCACGTTTCATACGAGAGGTGGTTCTTGACGCAACACGCGATGCAAGGTTATTGTTGGGATATGACGAAATATGAGTTTTTACGTTCCAAAAGAAACTATTCACAGAAATCACCGGAGAGAATCGCCAGAAGGCGAACGTTGGTGTTATCTGATAACTTCAAATAATTTAGCCCTAAATGTCGAAGCATCTCATATTGAGAGCTGTATATAAACGTGGCACGGATGGTTGCACGCATGGCACGTCTGCCGTTTAGCCTTCGCTAGCGAACAATTTAGTTAACGCTGCGACGTGATTAGCCTTCGGTGCGCATCCGAACGCCGAAATTGTGGCATGAAAAAATCACGAGATCGATACGACGATGGTGATCCTAACCATGGCTGAATGAGGCGATTTCCTCAAACAGATATTATTCGAAAACCTTCCCAGGCTCCTCTATCCATTGTGGATTGCTTGGGTCTGATAAACCGTTAAATTGAGTAGCGAGGTACGAGAGATTTGGGACGAAAACGAGTACGATGACAAACATGGGGATTTTACAAGATGTGTGCGAATCTCTAGGTTAAACTATCTAACGTACGAATGACGGACACTCTCTGGTCCAATTAACGTCGCAACCTTCGGTCGCTCCACCAAATAGTTTTACGTGTATATCTCAGTTTTCATGTGCACACCCACAAAGTAGTAAGCAAAGCTGCCCTGGGAAAAGAAGACGGGCCACTTTGCAGATCATCAATAAGCCAACAATACCAGCCCTACAAAATGAAAGTCTGCTACTGCTGTGTTTTTCTATTATTTTGGTCCTCTGTGGCAAACGTTCAGTCCTTTCAAGTCAAGTACAATCACTGGAACAAACGAGTTCTCGTTTTGCGGAATACCAACGAGAAAACAAATGAAGGGGAGTTTTCGGGAAGCAAACGAGTGTGCATTATAGGCAGTGGCTGGGCTGGGTTTTCGGCAGCTGATGCATTGTCAAGATGCAAGGTCGTTGGAGGTGACGAGGGTGACATGAAACCATTAGAGATTCATTTGCTGGATGCTTCTCCAAGGGGGCCTGGTGGCCTCGCGGCGGGATGGAAATCACGTCGGTTGAACCGAACAGTAGAAGCGGGACTGCACGGTTTCTGGAGGGAATACAAGAATACCTACGCGGCCATCGAAGGGGCAGGACTCGAAATTGACGATGTGTTGACAGATTATACTCCGTCCGTATTGGTCTCGGAATCAGGGAGAGTCGCTCTTGCGCCAGTGTTGGGTGAAGAAGCCAATAGGAAACATCTGCCCTTGGACTTAAGAGGATCGGTTTCACTGCTATCTACTTTGGCGAACCTACTACCACCGCCACTAGACATAGCACTTCTTTCTGAATTCGATGGGAAAAGCCCTTTGACGGTTGCAGACAGAATGAGTGCTCTTGGTCTTCTTGGCGTTTGGAGCGACTTCGATCAAAATGACAAAAAAAGTTGGTTAAGGTAAGACAACCTTCGTTATGCTGAGAGTCTACTGCAGTCATTTTGAATATTTTTTATTCTCGCGAATGTTTTCGGAAGGTATGATAGTATAAGTGCAGACACTCTTTTTAGATCTATTGGGGGGGTGAGCAATAGAGCATATCGCGAACTAGTTGCGCCGCTCCTTCACGTCTTACCGATGACCCCTGGCTATGACTGTTCCGCAGCTGCTGCTCTCTCGTGCTTTCATACATTTGCTCTTCAGTCCAAAGGTGCATTTGATGTTCGATGGTGCAAAGGGAGCATCTCCGAGCTAATCTTCAATCCTTGGGCAGCAAAACTACAAGGAACAGGAAGCATACTAATTGATGGTAGCTCGAAAGTCACATCGATAGAAGAGATTTGTTCGAAGGGGAAAAAGGAGTTCAAGGTTGAGATCAATGAAGAGAAAACTCTCGAATTTGATTACATTATCTTTGCAGTTGGCGCGAACTCCTTCAAGAGACTCTTGCCGAAATGTTCTTTTCTTTCCAAGCACCCTGATGCAGACAATTGGCGAAGTCTACGCGGAATCACATGCGTTGCTGTTCGGCTATTTCTGAGACCGCAAACCTCAGACAACGGTGCTGTTTCCGGTATCCGGGCAATCGACGAGGCAATGGACGAGGCTGTTTTTGTATGCGGACCAAATGTCGGTGGTATCCCCGAGCTCGTAGAAACTGGATTCTGTATATATGACCTACAACGACTGCAGAATGAATACTCTCTTTTGACTCAACGAAATGAGGAGACAATCCCATGCGTTGCATATGAAATAGACTTTTTTCGAGCCAATTGCCTCGTGGACATGGGCAATGATGCAGTTGCAACTTTGGCGCTGAAGGCTTTGTGCGCAGCGCTCGAAATCCCCCCCATTGAAATAGGGTCAATTCTCGACGTCTCTGTGATCAGAGCCAACGATGCCGTATCACATTTCTGTGTCCGATCCGCATTGTGTTCGCCCCCAGTCAAATTACTAGACGGTGTTTTCATGTGTGGTGATTGGATTGACAGAACAGGCCATGGGTCATGGAGTACCGAAAAGGCTGTTGTAACTGGCAGACAAGCTGCTGCATCTCTCGCGAAGGATATTGGACTTGATTGCGATGCTGAAGTAATTCCAGTTGCTTCTGAGACACCGCAGCTAGGTGCTCTCCGCCGGATTGCAAGGGCATTTATCCCGCCTGGCACTATTCCTCCTGCTCCTTGGGCTCTCTGGAATCAACTTGCCCCCTAAAGAAATGGATCAATGCCGGTTTATGATTCCTTTACAATTCTACAAAAGCTCCTACATCATATCAACGATGATCATTTCCGCTTCGGATGCTAGAATGCCAACAAGATGCTTTCTTGGTGGCAGTGTAGCATCGAGAGGGTTAATATCTCCTTTCAAAACTGCTTCTTCAACGAAATAAAGTTGCCGCATTGTCACCAACGCTTTTTCATGGCAAACATCGAGATAGGAGTCAAGCTTCTCTTTGATCCTCGGCAAGAATGAAATTCTGGTCCTGTTGCGTCGAGCTCTCTTCGTTTTTGGTGGTAACGAATGCCCGGTGTGGCCATGTTGAATTATGCGTGCTACTGATCCTCTTTGTGTGCTGTCTTCGATTTTTTTCTCGCATTTAGTATCAGATACAATCATGGCATCCCCCAAAATCCGGTAGGAGACCTTGCGTTTTAGCATCGGTACGGAATTCGGACCATTTGTAGCTCCGGGGAGGACTGGGTCACTTACGGGAACGGAGAAATGTCCATCACTTGACACGATCGATGGAGTGAATGTCGAACCGCCAGTATTAGTTCTCGAAACCTCTGGGACACTTGATACTATCCGTTCGTCTGACTTGATAAACGGTGAGGCCGCACCACCAGTTTCGTTTACGACAGGAGTGAAGTAGTGCTGATGCAACCTCCACAGATCTCGAGAGTCGAATGGATACTGCGACATCTCATTGAGGTGCTGAATGTTGGAGCAGAGCCATTCGACTATCCTCTGCTTCCGGACAGGGTCGGGATCTGGATTTTTGACATTGCTGCTTGATGACTCTGGCGGAGCCACAAATGATCGTGCTTGCTTTGTTGGTAAATCGCCTGTGAGGACTCCATGCGATTTCACCCCCACATCGTTGGTTCCACTTCCGTCGCGTCCAGGGGACTCAATCATTATTGACTCTCCAGCTAAAGGTGACTCGAATGACAGATCTGTCGCATCTAACCCCTGCCGTGAAAATACATCAACACCGTTGGCGACGAGACTTGCGTACGCTTTCTTCGCAACCTCAACAACGACCGTGGCCTCGAGGGGTTCCTGTCGCCCCGTTGAATGTACAGTTGTCTCAGGGCCAGGGATAGATAAAAAACTTAACGGGTCCAACTCTTGCTGAAACTCTGATATCGTATCATTATTCTCCATGTTTGGCTTGTTGTTCCACATTAGATGGATAAACTTCAAAACCTGCCCATTCGTCCAATGCTGCAATGCCTCTGGGAATCCAAGAGTAACTATCGTCGCTGTAAGAATTGTAAGTTAGGGATGCATGTAAAAACAAAGAAATGAGATTTTTGAAAGCACGTACGTCCTATTCGAAAGCCAGTGAGCTTGCGGAGGGCAATGCGGGCATTAGAAACAATGCCAGCAGTGATGTGACGCTGTCCTTCATGATTGATTGCACAGTGTACCAAGAACAAAGCCTCTAAAGAACAGTTGTATGCGAGCGCATATGCAACAGCTTTAGCTGCGGGAACATCGACCGTGTTCCCCGATATGGATAAAGATTCGAGCCGATTGGAATCTGCAACTACTTTCATCAAGACATTTAGGCCGGTGGCCTTGATCGAATTGAATCCTATGTCCAGAATCTTCAGCTCCTTCAACGTAGGGAGAACAGCCGCCAACTGATGCGCTCCGCGATCCCCAATGTTGTTATTATCCAGTTTTAGTTCCCGCAATGATCCCGAGCCCCAAAGAGCATTCATCAGAGACTCCAAGCCCTTGTGGGTCATGTTGTTGAAGGAAAGCTGTAACGACTGCAGAGGCAAAGCACTCTTATTTGCTTTGATGCTTGAAGCCAGCGCTCCGATTTCGTCGTCTCCAATATCGCAGTTTGGAAAGGATATCACACGGATACATGCTGTCGTCTCAAGCAATCTTGCAACAGAGTTGCATCCAAGCATTCCCATCCCGGTTCCGCCTAAAAATAGCTCCTGCATACCACTGCAGCTTCCGACGCGTAATCTTGTGACTTCCCGCAGTTGATGTTGAGAGGTTTCGTGTTGTGACGGTTCCAAGTTTGCAGACTGCACTTCATCTTCGAGAATTGATTCAGCTATCGCGCTTACTCCACCTGCTCCTATTCTATTTCCTGTCATGAACAGCTTCGAAAGTCGGCTTCCTTGACGTATAAAGTCAGCCAGTGCAAGAGCCCCGTCTTCTCCGATCATATTTCCAGCAAGGTAGAGCGTGTGAACAGTGCCACCATTGAAACGAACAGCCGCTTGTTGCAATGCGTGCGCCAAAGCTGACGCGCCGATGTCCCCTACATTGTTGAACCCCAAGTCAAGCAGCACAAGAGACCTATGGACAGCAATACCTGCTGCCAATGTTGTCACCCCACTGTCGCATAGATTGTTGTATCCAAGCTTGAGCACAGTCAAGTTCTCATTCTGAGACAGTGCCATTCTCACCAATCGTGCATCCGATGACATCAAACTTCGTTGTGAGAGATCGATCTGGCCGATGGAATCAGCAGAAAGTAAATAAAAGGAAAATAAGGACAGAAATCGAAGAAATGGAGCTTACCTTTGTCAGCGAGCGCCTGAGCAGAGCTTCGGAAAGCCGCTGTAGAACAGACTCTCGAGACGAGCGAATCCCATATTCATCATGAAGTGGACGTGATATGGTAACTGGACCAGGTAAATGAGAGCTCTGGGCCCCATTTACTAAAGGATGGTCCGCAGTTGTAGCTGCTTCTCCATGCAAGTTAGAAAGCGGGTCGTCAATTGTGTGTTCCAATTTCAACATTTTTTTAGGGGAAGTCTTTCGATCAGGCACCGCCATTCAAGCCAAGATTTCTCGTGGTTTCTGCGCGCCACTTCAGTTCAAATGCTTCACCTTTTCGCTTGAACAAGAAACAAAGAGACTCCAGAAGATTAGTGCATCAATCCATGTCACAATTTTGCTTTTGGCTTCCATCGGGCAACCTCAGAGATGCGAACAATGTTTGTAGTAGGGAGTCTACTTATTCTACTGCAACCTCATAAGGAGAAGAAGAGAAGAACCCTTTTTCGTCTGCCTGTCAACTGGCGTTTTTAAAAATCGAATGAATCAATCGCTCGATAATACATGCAGGTTCCAAAAATATCATTTTTAGGAATTGCAATTGTTCGGAATTGAGGCAGTGGGAATTCCCCCTTTTCAATTTATTTCATCCCCGCGATATTTAACGCGATTTCCCACAACTACTGTAGTTGTGGGGACAGTTTTTTGCCAAAAATTCCCACAACTACAGTATCATACCAGTACATTTTTTCTGTATGGTGGCTACACAGATATTTTCCACTGACTGACTGATGTGTCAAAATGCGAATGGATCAGTTCGACTGATTCAAAAGATCCCAACAATCTTATTATGGGGTCACTCTTGACTCGAGGGGAGTTTTCCCAGGTATTGTACAGTACAGTATGTATTATAGTACAATATTCAATATGTGCTTCCTATCACCCACCGCATGGATTACATTTCTTGCTACCTCACAACCAATTGGACTTGTCTTTTCGAACCATCAACAATCAAGGCGACTTTCCTCATGCCAATCAATGGCAAAACCAAGTGATGGCGACATGCAGGTGGCAAAATCCAAACGTGTTGTATTCCTTCGGCATGGTCGAACGTATATGAATGATTTCATCGGAGGTGTTCATTTCGGAGCTCCCAATTTTTCTGATATCTTCCCTGAGACTCCTGAAAACAAATCCAAATACATAGACTCTCCCCTCACTCCTGAAGGTATCAAGCAGGCACAAAACTTGAAGTCTGTACTCCAGAGAACAAGAAAATTGAAAGACTACGGTGCAAACAAGATGGAAGAAAGACTTTTTGGTTCTCTGCTGGATGAAATCGATTTAGTAGTTGTCAGTCCTCTAACTAGAGCATTGGAGACCATGGACATTGGGTTATACCCGCTCATCAAAGCTCGAAATATTCCGATTGTCGCTAATCCCCTTGCATCTGAAAGGCTGTATCTTGTTTCCGACGTCGGTCAAGCGCGAAAGGAGTTGAAAAAAATGTATGAATACGTTGATTTTGATTCTTGCATATCAGACGATGACAGGCCATGGCATTTTCAACCAACAGAAGATCTCAAGAAAACATACGTTGAGTGGCGGCCATCTGGGCACGGACAGGTATATGCCTGTCTCGGGGAACCACAGGATCATTTTGATCGCAGGATGACCGAATTATTTCTATTCTTGGAAGAGCGACCGGAACGAACTATCGTACTAGTTTGTCACGCTGGTGTGATCGATTGGTTCTTGCACGAGACCTTCGAAAATTGTGAACTCGGAATCGTAGACTTCGACCGCCTAACTCACAATCCACGCATCCAAAGATGGAAACGATAGAGAACAATGTTTGCAGCCACATTAACGTTCAGACTGGCTGTTCCGGCACCATATTGAGGTATTCTAAGCAGCAATTTGCACTCCTGCAAGTGCTTTGGATGAATGCCTTGACCTTCGTTTCCCATAAATATGGCAATGTTTTCTTCATGTCTTCGGAGCTCTTTGTTTCCACGAAAGTAATTTTCGTCCAGTATGTGAGCCTTGTCATCAATCTCCACTCCAATTAAATAGATAGAGCTATGGTTTATGTAAGCCAGGCACTCGCTCCATTTGGAAAAGTGCTCTAGGCGAATCGATCCTTGTTTCATTGCCTCCTCAAATTGAGGAGGGAACAAATCGCGGTCTTTGTTTTTCGTTTGCCCAACAAGCAAGACCTCGTAACAGCCAAATGCTACAGCTGTCAAGAGCAGTGCTCTCACATTGTGGAACTTCTGAATGTTGCAAATAACAATATAGAGCTTCATTCTGTTTTGAAATGGCTTATTTCATTGCTGTCCCAACTTGCAACAGAATAATTTGAAATTGGAGCACTGAGAAACCATGTGGGAGAGATGGGCAAATACGCGCGTCGACGGACGACTGAGGTGCGCCGTACTGTACTACGGTCGGCGGACGGAGTGGAGAGCTGAACTACCCAGCTGACCGTATAGAAAGGTTACGAAAGAAATAGAGAAGAAGAATTCCAGATTCCGGTGGTCATGAATACTTCAAATGACCACCGTAGGAAAGTGAACGTACAAAGTACGAAGCTGGAGGAAAGCCTGCGAAAAGCCCCGAAGTGGAATGACTTGCAGCTGCATCAAAAAGCACACAAATCAATCCAACTCGGAACTTGAGCAAAACACCTTCAGACTCCAGCAATAGGTAGAAAATTTTTAACTCCTAGGGGGTAAGGTGATTTTTAGACAAGAATCGGAGCTATAGGGGAGAGGAGTGTCATCATGAGCCTGCCAGAATACGTTACACGTTTCTTTTCTGCCAATACCGGATGAACTTGTGCTCAGACGCGTGAAGGGACCAGAGTACCAGTGGAGACCGTAATCAAGCGCGGGCATGAGTCACAAGGGAGACAGCATGTAACCTCCACCATTTCTTGCCATTCTCATTTGACGAGAACAGCTTCGGCCATTTGAAATTGACAGTGATGAAAACGAAGATGCCCCGGATTCAGACCACGATGCTACACTTTCAGATGGAGCCCCTTCCAGAAACCCTCGAGGACCACCACCCGACACCGAGCCAGAAGATACGGGACCTGGGGACCAAGCTGAGTTGACCGATTATGAAGAGGAAAGAGAGCTCCCACTCAGCGCTTGGGTCCATCTCATGACAGATCACTGTCGAGTTAAATGTGTCGGACCAACGACAAACAGCAAGCAAGACAACATCATATGTGGCAAGCTGAAGAGCAAGTGCCGATTCCGTCTCCACAAAGAACTTCAAAGCAGTGGCGAACAAGCAGCCCCACGTTGGTACAAAGGAGTCCCATCTACCAAGGACATTGACAAGGAAACTGGGGAATTTATTATTCATGGTCAACAATATGGTCATTGTCGGACCGAGAAGGAAATGGACGAGCATCTCAACCGAGTCTCCAATGAAGTGCTCTCCATCTCAGACGAAGAGGAAGAGCATGATGACACCAATGTCAATACTAGCGAAGTGGATTCTGAGGGACAATTCTTGGATGGCTCAGACGACAACCACCAAGACGACCTCGACCGAATCAATGAAATAATCGCTGAGATCGAAGAGGCAAAGTTGAAGAAGCTGAAAGCGGAGAAGGCAAGACTGGAAGCAAAGAAGGTAGCAAGCCAGTCTCCTTGTAAGAAGAAGCGCACCCCAACCAAGAAGAAAACTAGGGCAACTAGGGCAACCTCCCAGAGGAAAGTTCCCATTGCAAGAAAGAAGACACTGAAGGGAACAACGCCCAAACAAGTCACTATTGAAGAGGGCAACAATACTCTGAAGTCTCCCCCCAAGCTGTTAGAATAAAGCAAAATGTGCTCTAT